TTGTTGTGGAATAAATCTACTAAAATAAAATGGAGAATTTTTGGATGCAGTCCATGGTAGTGGCACACACCTCAAGTGTTCAAGGGTCAACCACTGTGCCAGTACTAGGCACATTCAGCTTCCCCCAGAAGGGAGATGGCTGCCATCACCTATTTCAATTGAGGTGATTAGATAGAGCTTTTGAGTCCTGTTTCACTTAAGGGGAAAAATGTCAGAGCCAAGCAAATGTTTTACTAGTCATGTTTGTTCATTAAAGACGCACAATGTCCTTTCTCCCCAGTATAGAAAGACCCAACAACAGACAGCAGTTTTCTTGCTGCTAGCTCCTGCTTAGCCTGGTCAGTGCCTCATCTTTCCTCCTCAGTCCTGTCTCACTGCTCTTCCCGTCAGTGCATCTCATGTTTCTTTTCTGTTTTCTTTCTCACTCTCTTGCTTTCCTCTCACCCCTTCTTTAAGGCTGTTCATTTTCCAGACAGCAAAGGCAGTTAAACTGTCTCCTCCTACCTCTTCCTTTTTCCCTCACTCACAATTGTAGTGATGGAGAACTTCATGTGAGAAACACAACCGTTCCCCTCATGCATGGTCACTCAGGTTAGGTAATACCTGTGTTTGAAAAGGCAATTTGTATTAACAGGGCTAGTTCCATGAAAGCAGATCAAGGAGTGCTCACCATACCATTTCTTTGGCAGGGATGTGAGGCTGTAAGTCCCAGCTGATGGGTGGTATCAAACAGCTGAGGCCTTTAACATCTGCTAATGGCATAACTAGATCCAGAAGAAGAAATTTATCTACACAGTTGGAGGCACACAAATACCTTCACAAAACCGCAACGAGCAAATATAAATATATACTGTCTATATAGTTGCTCTGTCAATTTTAGCAAGGCTTTACCCACACAGAATTTTACTGATACTCTTTTATACTCATCAGTCCTCTGGCAAGGCTGAAGTCATTGAAAACCCATTAGTAAGGGAGAACTCGGTGATTTTTTCCATGCAGAAAACCTGTAAAGGACTCGTAAAAATTGGCCAGATGCATTAATTAGGATTTTTGAAATATTCTCTCCTGATCCTTTTTTCCTTGATAGAGAAAGAGTTCAATGTTGTCCTTTGATGGAGCTCAACTCACTTTACTCATTTTAAAATATTGTGAGGTTCTTAAACTAAATCCCACTGAGGAAAATACACCTTTTTCTTTCAGTTAGTCACACAAAGGATGTGATAGTCAAAGAACAAACAAGTCTCCTGTTAGAACAAAAGACACTATTGATTGTGCCAAGCCCATTTTACTCTGAAATTGTTTCATACACTGACACAGATGAGTTTCTAAGCAATCCCTGGGTGTCCAATACATAGAGAAAAGTCTGTTTGCTTTATGGTTCTTTTTTTTTCTACTTTTCTAAAGGGCAATAGAAGACCCTTGTGCTTCATAGCTCTTCTCTGCCAAAGTACAATACAGCTCATTTTATGTTTTCAGTTATTTATACACTTTGATGGCTTTCTGAATTGATCTTCTTCACCACACATCTACTGGGGAAATAGAAAAGTAGTGTCATTATATATGACACAGAATCTCAGGACTAGTAGCTGAGATGATCTTCCCTTAATTCTGTAACAGAGGGTGTTTATGTATACATTTTAGTTGAGTTCAGAATGAATTTCCTAAAGAAAAAGCATCATTACTTGTACAGGAAGATCTGCAGGAGGTTCATGGGCTGTCACAGCGAGGAACAGAGTCTGTCTTCATGCAAAACATAGTGTTTCAGAGGAAACTGGGACCAGGGTGGCAAATGTTATTTGTTTCCACAAGAAATATTTAGAAATTACATAATTTTGCTCAGTTTTTAACCAGGGTTTAAAAGTGTCATTGCCTATCTAAAATTCAGACAGACATAATTTAGCTTGTCAGAATCCAACAGTAGAACCTGAAAGCTACTACACAGCAAAAACCCAAAACTGATTAATAATAATATGAATTTTGAACAAGAGCAGACAATGTCACAAACTGTGGCTGAGTGTGGTCTCATGTAGAAAGTCTGATGAGACTACAGCAGTTCCTGTCCCCAAATCTGTAACATTAAATGTTGGGGTTTTTGTTCTAGCATTGCAGCTTCCAGCATATAGGTAGGAAATAATCCAGAACCTCTGGTCCTCATTAGACCAAAATACCAAACGACAGGCTGGGCTGGGCAGGGCAGCCTGAAAGCACAGCTCTGAGTGATGTGGTATTGAAATTGAGGAGCATTCCTAACTGCTACATTGGTTAGCTGTGAAGTGCCACATACATTGTTGTCTAGTCTACACATTTGCAATGCTTGATTCAGTGGACAAAACTAAAACCTCTCCATATACAGAGGTGGACTGACAATAGAGCTGATCTTTGAAAGTTACAGACAGTTAAACTCCAAAGCAGGAGCAGAAGCAGGAAACAGTATTTCAGAAATGGAAAGCTAAATGCCTGGTGTGTGTGTCTGCTCTGGTAGTGGTTCATTGCCAGTCAAAGAGCCACAGAGCTGCTGTGGCCATTGCAACATATGAGTAATGAAACTGTACCTATTGCATCCAGTCTGAACCGCAGAGAGATTTCTGCTGAAGCTACAGCAGACATCTCCTTTGCTGCTTTACCGGCTGTGACACAAGTGTAAGTCACAGGCATGCTGAAGAGAGGCACTGTCAGGGTGACAATATCTTCTGGTGGAGGAAAAAAATAGTTCTGGTCTGTCCACTCAGACTGCCCAGGGACAAAGAGGAATTTGGCAGGTCCCTTCACAGCTCTGACAATGATTTGTGGTGTGATTTGGGGCAACTTGTCCATTTAATCACTGTATCGCAGCTTGTGCACACATTAAAGCATAAAGCATTCATATTTAGTGGGACTGTCTTGCAATTTATATTTATATAGCATATTGTGAATTAGAAGCATTACATGTCATCTACTGCTGTTGCTACTAAATCAGCAGCAGACTGCTTCAGGTTATGTTGGTTTGAATTTTGTGTCAATAGCTGAGGCTATTTTTGGTTTGGATTTTTTTTTTAGGCCATAGATATGCATTTATAGTCCTGCAGTATTAATAGCTGCTCAAAATTTTCCACAGCTCTGGATATTTCCTTTCACAGGAAACTGCAACAGAAAAGGAGTCTGGAATATATGGCTTGCTACAGTAGCATAGTGATAGTAGTACTTCAGAGTGGTGGTAATACTTACCGCAGTAGATTCTGCTGGTTTATACAAGGCAGGCAGAAACTAACAGGGGCACGTGTGAGTAACTCCATTAACTTTACAAGAGCTATATTAGTTTAGGCAAGGAAGTGCACCTTTTGTAACTTTTGTATATTAGAGTTATTGGTTGGGTGAGACACAGTCACTGTGGCTGTATTTGTGAGGAGTAGGTCAATGAGACATTCTTGACAATGTCTCAACTAAACTGGGAGAACAACAGTATTCTAAAGAGAAGCTGCTAGCAGATTTTTTTCATTAGCCTGTTTTTGAGGTTCTTCCTTTATTTATTCAAATGTGGACAACAGCCATCTACCTGCATCAGCTCCCTGTTGCCCTATCACTTGTCACACTGGTATTAATTCAGAATCAAATCACTGATATGGCTTCAAATGCACACCTCAACCATGCACAACTACTGACCATCATTCTCACTGAATATGCATGCCAGTTGTGATGGCTATGATATATATTAAATTATGCATTGTTATGGCTGATGCACAAAATTCTAGACATGTACTTAAATGTGTATAACCATTAAGCCATAAATGATGCATGCATTCTATAAAAAAGCAGGTATGCATTTATCCTCACTAGGAAAACAGGTTTGTAAAAACTTTTTTCCCTGCTAATACAATAATTTTAAATCTGTGCTCTGTACCTAGTTCTTAGAGAGAACTTACCACATTTAAGGTTGGAAGCCTTGAAATCCAAGCCAGCAATGGAATTATGATTTTCTTAAAATGCCATCCATTCCACTTAGGTAAACCTGTTATTCTGCTGCTGTTTTCTAGCAATAAGAAATCATGCTGAAAAACTGTACTCCTCATGAGTTTCTAGTCTTTTGCCATTCCCTGTGTAGTTGCATTTGGGATTCCAAAATGCAGGGATCTCCCTTAGATTATTTTAGAGCGATTTTTTTGTTTCACACTTACCATTTAAATCTGCAAAGTGAGAAACATTATTCAGTGCTCTCAACTGGGCAAATTACTAAAGCTCTTTGACTGACATCCAGGTGACAGGAAGGTTCTGTCAGTGCCACCCTAACAGCTGGCTTGCCATGCAGTGATGCTCTCTAAGCAGCAGGTGTCATGTTCTTCTGAGACCTGCTGCTATAAAACTAAAACGTTTTCATGTCTCACTATACTCTCTGATAAGACAAAAGATGCTGAATGCATAAAAGTGACACATAGAGCAAATTTCGTTCCAGCTTAAGAATGGGCAGAGTTTGGTTACATGGCCAAATGTAATCTCTGGCTGCTCTTGTTCGTTACAACAGCATGGCCCAAAGAGCCAAGTGATTCCCAATACCAATTCAAATCTGCCCTGTCAATAAATGTCTAGACATTTTAATTTCTGACAAACACATTTGATAAATAATTTCTATTAATTTATCAGCAGATATACAAGCATATGTCAATATTATGATTCTATCCATTTTTTATGTCAAAGAGGTCATTTTAAAACTACAGTTGTCTGAAAACTCTCAAGGTTGTTTGATTTCTATATGACACTTCTTATAACTGCCATTATTTATGGGTAAACAGACCTGTAGGCATGAAAAAGGGTCTATGCCTCCAGAATCTAAACTAATTATTGCTCCATCTGGCTTTGGCAGACATTCAGCATGGCTCTCATCTGCACAGGGTTTGAGCTGTCCTCTCCTAGAATAATGATTAATAGAAGGATTTTAAATATTAATTTGTTTAAACTGTAGAAATTACTTGGTTTGTGCTTAGTGCTGCTAGCTGGTATTTGACTACATTGTGCTTCATTTATTCCAGATAATTGATAAGAGCAAGAGAGACCCCTCTGAAGAAATTGAGATCCTCTTGCGATACGGACAGCACCCAAACATCATTACTCTTAAAGATGTGAGTAGTCTTTGAGCACTTCAGCATTAAATAATTTTCACCTTATGGTCTGGCTCATTTATTAATCCATGTCTGGAAAATTCTACAGTTGAAGGTGAGAGCTAAAACCAGACCCATTGAAATCAAGGGAAAAAACATGACTTAACCAATTACTGGGTAGCATTTGGAAAGACTGGCCAGGTTATGCATTCTCCAATTACTATCTAACAAACTGTGAATAAAACCAAAGGGACACAATGCTGGAGAACAGCCAAATGTGATTGGTTTTGCAGCACCTATTTAAAAGGAGATCTCCCTAGCTGGGTGTTTTGGGGCATGCTGCTGAATACACACAGTGGTGCTGCTGAGAAGGGGATGCTCTTTCAGAAGCATCCCATGCAACCTGTGATATCTGCTTTGTTGAGGAGAGGAGCACTCACAGAGTCACTAGGATTTCCTCCAGTAGTATTTTAATGCCAGGAAATATTTACCTTCTACTCAAGCAGCATGAGAAGACATGAAGGTATCTTTCTTCAGCACTTCATATGAAAAATAGGTCCACTATGCTTAAATGCTGTAATGACCTTTAGTCAGAGATGTTTTACTTACACTGCCTGCAGTCTCACCTAGGATTGTCCACACCATGTCAGATTCAGAGGTTACAGAACAAAATCCTTCTTGTGTCAGTGGCCACTGTGTTACGGTTTAGACCTCAGAGAAGTATATAAAAATTTTCTAATCACATGCCCTTAGAGAAGTCTCACCTAATTCCTAAGTGTTAAAGACTATCTCAAATTTTGTGCAAAAAATAGATTTTATATTCCTTTCCAAAAACATTTAGCAATGATGACTATAACACTGCCTATTATTGCAGTCCAGATAAAGGATTATGACATGAAAATGGCTGTCTTCCAATTTAAATGACAAAATGTATTTTACCCTTTGCCATTGACATTGAAGCTAAATACATTTTGCAGCTGATGTCAGCAACGTATTCACCAGAATTGAAAATATAAACTATATAATACCATTAGATGCAGGTCTTGGCCAGCAGTATAATACAGTTCTTTAGCTGGTCATGAGTCAAAGGGGAAATATTGATATTTGAAATGGCAAATGTTACCCTGTAGAAGTGGAAAGAGAGAACACTACTGAGAAGGAGGCTTGGGTGAGAGCCAGCAGACATCTGAGGTTGTGTGAGTGGTGCTGCTTTTAGCAGCTTGGTCTGCTCTGCTGGCATGATAGCAGATCAGGAAAGCTACGTTTCTATGTGATCGAATCAGCATGCTGCTACAGGCACAAGAAAAAAGTGATGATTAAGTCATTTTATAAAGTTTCCTTTTCTGTTGTTAAGTGTAATAAGCACATGTCCCACACATTAACTGATGTTTTCTTCTTGCAACATCTCACACAAGAAAGCCAACACTGCGATGAAAGGATTAACCTTTACCAAGTTAACTGGTCCAAAACAGATGTTTATTCTATTACTCTTTCAGGTCTATGATGATGGGAAATTCGTGTACCTGGTGATGGAGCTGATGCGGGGAGGTGAGCTCCTGGACCGCATTCTGCGGCAGAAGTGTTTCTCAGAGCGGGAGGCCAGTGCTGTGCTGTGCACCATCACCAGGACTGTGGATTACCTGCACTCTCAGGGCGTAAGCATTGCTTTTGTGGCTTAGCTGCATCAACCTTATTAAAATCCAACTTGTAGAAATACCAAATAGTTGTGTTTCACTTCCCTGCAGTGTAAATAGGGGCTTTTCTCCCCCCCAAAAAAAAATCTTTCTCCATACTTATAACTATGTTTGGTTTGTGAAATAGGGTCATAGACTTTTTATCCAATTTCCCACTGAACTGAAGCATGTTGAAGTGATATTTTCATTCTCACACTACAGTGATTTTCAAGTTCACTTACCTTGCTAAGATATTACTTGTTTACTTTTTATCACAGTCATTGTTGCAGCACCTGATCTTTTAACAGAATTTCAAATACGGTAGCTGAATCAGCAGATAGGTAGAAAATCAAATGCTCAGCTCTCCAAGTGAAGTGGCAGTTTGAGCAGCTGATGGGGAAGGCTTCTGACATGCTGTTAAAAGCTGGCTTTTAAAGTCTAAGCTTTCTATATACAGCATTTTGAAAATCTCTCCTTTTCTGCATTTCATGGACAAGCGGTTTGGATGACTAGTCAAATATTTGCTGCTTTTCCTGCTCCATGGTTAAAACCAGTGCATTTTGTGCTTGGGCTTTTATGGTTTCATGATAGTTTTTCAGTCTTGCTATAACAACTAAAGGCTGTTTTCCCACCACTGAATGCAGCATGTCTGGTAAAATATGCAGCCACTTCAAGTCATGTGAATTCATTTTGAAATTAGGGGAAAAAACCATCCCTCTTTTCAGGTGTGAGTCACTCACATAGGCAGTCACGGGAAGACCCGTACACACTTTCCTCCTATGATGGGATTTCTTCTTCATTTTTCAGCTGAGTATTCAGGGGCATCAGGTTCCAGGAGACTCTGCCACCAAGATGTTTGTACAGCAGCCCACTGAGCACCCTCAGGAAAGGTGTCCCCTGTTAGAGCAGCAGCCTCCATCTTAATACACCAGCAGAGGCTGTCAAGCATTTTATTTCTCATTTTAACAGACTTGAAGCAGGTATTTTTCCTGCATTTGTCCAAGGCTTATAAGTAATTTTTTCCAAAACTTAAATATTTTCAGCATGTGCTCCTGACCTCAACCAGCAGCCCAGAAATGGCAGCCAAGCCTGGGTGCTCCTTGACCTCCTCTTCTCACTTGTTTCTCACTGCTCTTTGCTGTTCAGGTGGTGCACCGAGATCTCAAGCCAAGTAATATTCTCTATATGGATGAGTCAGGAAACCCAGACTCTATCAGGATCTGTGACTTTGGGTTTGCCAAGCAACTGAGAGCGGAGAACGGGCTGCTCATGACTCCCTGCTACACGGCCAACTTTGTTGCCCCTGAGGTAGGATCGTGTTTCAAAGCCTTGAGTAATGAACGTGTCCTAGGAAGCTGTCCTCCCTCCCCCTCTCACTTTTCCTCTCTGCCTTTGCAAGAGAAACAAGGCAGAAACCAGGCTACTGGCACTTGCACAGTGTCTATTACCATACTTTTCTTATTCCTGGTCTTGTAACAACAGTTGTTTTCCTCCTGGCAGAAGCTGCTGTGTGTCTGTGACTGATGTACACAATGCTTTGGCTCATTACTGTGATAAAAATCTCTCTAGCTGCTTCTGTTCAGACTGCTCCCCCTCTAGTGCACTGCATCAGAATGGGATTAAGGCTTAAGAGGGAAATCTTAATGTCAGAAATAAAATCCTTATGACAGGTTACCCAGGGAGGTTGTGGAGTCTCCTTCTCTGGAGATATCCAAAAGCCATCTGGACACAATCCTGAGGAGCATGCTCTAGAAGACCCTGCTTGAGCAGGGAGGTTGGACTATATGACCTCCAGTGGTCCCTCCCAACCTTAACCATTCCATGATTCTATGATAAGACTGGAAAGAAAAATCCTTGCACAAAATCCTTAACATGCTGAAGTCAGTGAGAGCTGTATTGTTGACTTCAATGAGCTAAAGAAACATCTCTCCTCTTGGGCTTTCTTAATACCAATCCTCTCTGTTTTGGGGGATGTAGAAAGAGCTGCTTCCTCATTTTTACAGACAAGGAAATGGAAGAAGGTCAAAGAGCTTGCGCCAAGCACAGAGAGAGGTGACTCTGCATCACTGACAAGTGCTTCTCCTTTCATGCAGCCCTGAAGGGGTTTGGGTCATACAGCTGTTTTAATGGTTTGGCCTCTCTGCTGCATTGATGTTTGAGATGTTTGTAGCTGCTTCTTTCTGATGAAGGAGCAAGAAGTTAATTGCCTGGGTAATTGTCCACTTCTTGGAGTGGTGAAAATCAGAAATTTTAGTACTTGCAATACATGACTTCAAATGTGTGTCTTCCTCTGCTTGTTATGGTCCTTATAAGAAAAATAAAATACTATTGTCTTTCAATACTTCTTCTGTCATCAACTATAAAATACCAGTGTCTCTTAGTTGGTATCATTCAGCAATCCTTTGTTCCTTGTAAGTCTCCTCCATCCAGTGTTCATCTGCATGGTATGTAACTAGGAAGAGAAAAATGGGATGATCTTTCTGTACAGGGTCCTTTCATGATACCAAAAGTTACAGGAATCACAGCCTTCCAGCATAAGAAAGAGACTTCGTTACATTGAGACCATTGCCAGGGCAGTATAAATTCAAAACAGATTTTTTTTTCAGAAAAAAAATATTCTATTGCCAAGATAGATCGGTTTTTTATTTTATTGCTGTTTTGTTGGGCTCCCATTTTAGAAACCGGAATGAGCTGTTTAAAATGCATCAAAGTACACTAAAAGAAAGTTGTGTAGCACCACAGCCGTTCAATTTCTAAACCAAAAAATAATCATGTTTGCAAGATTTGAAGCACTGAGATTTTCTCCAAGATACAATGTGCTTAAAATAGGTGTAGCTATTTTTCATGATGGGCTGTTTTGTATAGTGTCTGCGATGACAAACATTGCTGGCCCAATGCAGTTTCAGATCAGATTCTTCTGATTTGAACTGAAAGCAGAAATCACACTCCCAGACATTCGTGATGAGTAAGATGGGTCCTGCTAATGCAGGAGGCATTGGAGATTAATTGAAGCATTACCAGAACTGGCAGAGAGCTTACATAAAGCCTTAAGTGCTTTTACATTTTACCTGTGATATAATGCTGCCCTCCCACCTAGACTTGACTTCCACATTCCCTGCCTGAGCCCTACTGCAACCTCTGCCATGTGCTCATGAAAGCAATCAAGGAGGCAGAAAGGCAACTGAGCTGATGGCAAAGGGGACAGTGACAGAGGAAGGAGGACATGTTTGCCCACTTAAATCTCTCTTTGTTTTGGAAACATTTCATTTGTTGGTTAGATGATAGCAAAAGCAAAGGCGAAAGCTACCCGAGAGAAAGAGGCACGCTGCCACCTAGTGCAAGTCATGCTGCATGCGGGAAGAGCCAGGCTGCTGCCCCACTGATGCAGTAGGGTCCTTTTGGATAAAGTAAAAATATTTTATTGTGCAGTTTTCCTTCAAAATCCCTGAAGAACTACTGTTTTGGCATTTGAAATAATGAGATTGGTTAATATATTTTATACACATGCCATAACTGAGAAAAAACCCCATATTTGTAACATTGTTAACCCAGTAAAGTCAAAGCCTACAAAAATAAAAGGGGGTTGGATAAATGTCTGACCCATTATCAGAATTGGTCTTAAGGTGACCTAAACCCCTTAATTGCTAGTAAATTCTTCAGCACCCATTCCAGCAGGATACCACTGCATCTTTTGCAAAGCTCTTTCCCCGATTGATTTATTTCTAAAACATGTCTGTTACTGTTTCATAACATCTCCTGCCTAGATCAAACAACAGTCCTTTGGGCCAAGGTTTCCCACACTTTCTCCTGTCATCTCAATGTTCTCGTTTTAACCAGAGTTGCACAGATTTGTTGAAGACATTTTCAAATAGCAGTGACACTAACTGATAACTCACTAGATCCTGTTGTTATCCACGAGATGAAGTTGCTGTTGATAAAAAAGTGTTTGCCAGCAAAGCTTTCCTTAGGCATCAGCACAGTCCTGTTTATCTAGCAGTGCTCCTGCAAACTGAATGATAGCACACAGTGACACCATTTGCTTAATACCCCACACCACTAAATGTAATCTTTGCCCCATTTTCCTGTCATTTACCTTGGACTTGATTGTCCTTGGTTATTGGAGGGAAACAGTGATGGAGTGAAAATGTAACTGTTCAAGATGCAATGAGAATGACCACACCAAAAGATAAATGTTGGGTATTCAGTCTCACAGGTGAAGCAAAAAGAAACTGAGTTTGTCAAATAGCAAAGACGTTTTTCCCCTATAAACTAACATTAATAAAGGGGCAATGAACGCAGGAACTAAATAAATAGAAACAAATAAACCAGCCAGAAAACCTATATAGGATGTGCAGGAGAGAGACACAGAAGCAGGATTTTACAAGCTTTGTCAACAGGAGGAAATGGGGATTTTTATCTGGTTTTCTGTTGTGTTGTGTTTTGGTTTTGTTTTTTTCCCCAGGTAGCAAATGCTAGTCCAACAGTATACCTGGCAGATGGTTGCTTTACCACTCATCATTTATAAAATCTGTTGAGGCAACTTTTTCTCAAACTGTTTTTCCTTAGCAGAGTTTGGTCTTTTCTGTGATAGACTTCAAATAGCTTAAATCACTCCTGGGTGATAAGGCTACAGGTCAGAGAAAGACTTGCTGAATCTGTACATCAGAATCCTTTTTCATGTGCTTTTCACAAAGACGTATCTACTGATCCATCAAAACAGGACAAAACTCTCCTTGTGTGTCAGGACTGAAGAAGAGTAGTTTGCTTTATCGGGGAAGAAGAAGATCTGGAGGTGGTTTCCAAGCTTAGCTGGTGACTTCACTTTCACTTGGACCTGCACTGATCCCAGTAGTGGGGGTGTGCCAGCATGAACTAGCATAAATGAAATCTAGACTTTACCCTTACTGTAAGGGTACCAATCCTGTACCAATTTTGAACCTACTGGTCAGATCTCTGCTGAGTGCCATGCATCTTGTTTTCCCCATAGGAAAAGGTGATAAGATTTTAGCCTCTTATCTGTTAAGTTCTGTCTAAATGTGGACACTTCTCTTTATATAGAAGTAAGATAAGAATAAGCCTTTTAGCTTTCTTTGCAGTTGTCATGTGTCTTTATTAGTCTGACATTAGATGTGCTTTAGTGTGCATCCAGTTGTTGTATCAAATCCAAACTGAGCCTAGACATACTTATCACTGTGACTCAGCCCTATGATTGTTGCCTCCACAGTGTTCTTGGTAATTTTTATGATAGGAGGATATGTTTCAAAGTATTAATGAGCTTTTTTTAATAAAACACTTCTAAACACTGAAATATTGTGCTGCTTTACTGCATGTTAGATGGTCAGAGAGGTTCCCAGTGTCCCCAACAAACTGCACACATCTTTCTCACTGTGAGTGGGACAGATGTGCTGGGTTTGAACACTAATTAGCTCTATCCAACCTGGGCTTCACCTTGCTCCACAACACTACTGGACATTTTGATCCCAAGGCAGCCACCTGTACAAACCACATATGTGGTTAAGTCTTGGAAATGTCAGCAGATACAACCACTAATCAGTGCTTTTTGAAGATCAGAAGCTAAAAATTCAGGAATGCAGATTAACCTATTTTCATCTCTCTCTTTCACGTAGGTCCTTAAACGCCAAGGTTACGATGCAGCCTGTGACATTTGGAGCTTGGGGATCCTACTGTATACCATGTTGGCAGGGTGAGTGACAAGGTTCTCCTAGAACAGCAGTCTTCAGTGATTAAACACTGATTAAGCCTGAAAGGAATCACAGATAAAGATAGCAAACTGCCTGGCCTCCTTGAAGAAATGTGTTCAGTTGTATGAAGCAAGAAAAGAGATGTCAAGATCCAGAATTAGAATAAGTTTTCTCTAGATACATAAATATCTTTGACACTTGACAAATTGTTTAGGTTTTTAACAGACAGTGCCCATAAGCATGCACTGAGACCTACACTCCTAAAGGATTCACTCACCACTTAAGCAGTGTGAATGTTTACATTAGGAGAGGTGCATAGGAGTCTGAAGAGCCACATCATGTTCACCTTGTCCATACAAGGATGTTAACTCATTCTATTAATATGTGTATCTCTTCAGCTTCGTTATTCTTCTGCTGTTACTGTTATTGAAGTATCTGAGCACCTTTAAAAGCTAAAAAACAAAGCCCACCCAAACATAATTTTCAGATGCTGTTTGAAAAATATGATGCAGAAAGGACAGAAAGTCAATGAATACACCAGGAGGAATAGCAGCAGGAAGTTTTGAGGGGTGCTTGGCAAACACACCCCTACCATTGTGTTGGCTGAAGTTAAATACTGACACAAGAAGATCCAGAGAAAGATGCAGATTGAAATAAGCAGTGAAGGACAGGAATAAGGTGTGCTAGGGTGCTTGGGAGCTCCTGAATTACATTTCTTGGAGTATGGTCTGTGCATATTTATCATATCTAAGTGCAGCTTGAAACTTTTCAGTGACCTTTCTAAACTCTTTCAGCTGCTTCATGATCATTCAGCTGTGACAAGAAGCTTGGATTCATTCCTAGATTTTATACAGAAAACAGAGAGTTGGGCTCTACCTTTATGTTGTTTGCATCTCTTGCCTCATGGATTATAGAAAAGATGCCAGGAGTCTCCATCTCAGCTAATTTGTTCCTGAGTATGAATGTGTTCAGCATTAGCTGAAATACATTGTGACTTTCTGGGGAAGTCTCCCTGTCTGCTGGGATCTCCAAGAACCTGTTTCTATTTGGCTAATGCCACAGATTTGCAGTGATACACAGCTGGAAACAGTAAAATAAAACCATCACATTACCCGCAGTTGTATTTGTTCAGTTGATAATATTCAAAATGCTTTTTTATTAAATGTGAAAAAAATCCAAATATATTTGAATCAAAAATAGAAATTGCACAACACAGTGGGTATTAAATTTATCAACAGGTGCTCTTAACTTGTATCTCACTTTTTCTGCACTTACCAGAAAAAATAAAAGTAATACAAACAGTTGAGAAATACTAACTTTTTAAGTGCTACCACTGCATTTGTGGATGGTCTGATTCTTCCTCAGCAGAGGAGATTAGTAGGAACTGACTATTATTTACATCCAGGATTTTATTTTCCTCCTGTCATTGCTATGAGCAAAGAGGGCTCAGACAGCCAGGACTAGACCACAGGCCTGGAATCCTGTTAATGGAGCTAGTGATGGACCTCAGAGGTTTTTCCTGTCCTTAACTCTTACTGCATCCCTTCTGATAGTTATAGATTGGAATAGCATTACATATCTCTTTGAGCTGGACTTTTGTGAAGTCTGTAACGTTTTTGAAAATGAGAAAACATGGTGTGAGGATTGAATTTGCTACTAGAAACCAGGTGGAATAGGAAGCTGTGGCCAAACCAACTGTTTAATGATGTAAAAACCACTCTGGCAAGTTTTCAGAAGAGCAAAGACAGATGGGAGAAAAATTATAAAAATCCCAAATACCCCTTCTTCTAAACCTACACAGCTGTTCAATAATTGCAGAGTAAAATTTGGCCCAGTAGATTTTAGTCAGCTGCAAAAACCTTATGTCTTGTCGCTTTCTGAAGACAAAAAGTGTACCCTGTGTTTGTAAAGCTTGGTGCATGTTACTAGTAATTTCTGACTGGATGGGCCAGGAAGTAACCTATTGCAGATCATTTATTTTGCCCAACAGACTGGCACATTGTGGTTAGCAAGATCAGTGGTAGTTAGCACTAGAACCTAGAAATAATATACTTGCAAATTACTTTCCCTTTGTTTTTTTAAATTTAAATAGATTCACTCCTTTTGCAAATGGACCAGATGACACTCCAGAGGAGATTTTGGCCAGGATTGGCAGTGGCAAATATGCTCTTACAGGAGGAAACTGGGATTCAGTATCTGATACTGCAAAGGTCAGTGAACCCTTTCTCAGATTTTTTCTCTTGAGATTTCAATGGCACAAAACTTTTTTTTTGGTGCAACTGCACGGTAAAAATAAGTGTAGGTTTGTCAATGCCACAAATATGTGGTCTAGATGTGAATCACCTTTTTGTTGCTCAAATTTAACCAGGAGCTGGCAGTTTACAAACTAGCATTTCTAATTCCTGTAGAGTTTGCAGTTTAGGCTGCCCATCTATCACAAAGCATGGAAATCCCAGGAAAGCAAATTCATCTGGTGCTGAGACTTTTTGGCGTGAAGATGTTGCTAGTCTGTGAGACAGGTAGATGGGCAGGAAAGCTGGGAAGCTTCCAGTTGCCTAGCATTAATCAGAAATTTTGACAGGATTTAAAGATTCCTGCAAGAGAATTCAGTTGTAGCAACTGGCAGTGTCAAATAGAAGAACATTGATACATCCCACCATAAAGCAATCCTAGTGACATATTAATCTTGCTAACAGGACCTATAAGCCTCACAATATATTTTTTCATCATATGCCTAGTTTTGAAATCAAAATGTTTAGATGTTGTAGAACTGACCTAATTGAATTTTAGCTGCCTGAATGTTAGGTTTATATTCTAAGCTGCTCCTGTAAGCATGCTTTGGGGTCTGTGAGAAAATGCCTCTGGGATGGCATCCTCTCTAGGTGAAGTTTATCACTCCTACAAGGTCACCAGTAATTCACACTTATTCAATAAGCCTCCACATTATCTTTTGATTATGAGCTGAGAGTTTAACATTAAACTTGAAAATTCTGAAGATCAGACCTGACACTTAACAGAATATCTAAACTGCATCACTCTCTTCAATGGACCTGCTAGCAATGACACTGTCACTGGGAAGATCTTAGTAAAACCTGCACTGCTGTTAATTACTTTTCCCCTTGTACTGTTTTCTTCCTTTTAAACCCAGGACATTGTGTCTAAGATGCTTCATGTAGACCCTCATCAGCGCCTCACGGCAGTCCAAGTCCTAAGGCATCCATGGATAGTGAACAGGGAGTATCTGTCTCAAAACCAACTCAGCAGACAGGATGTTCACCTGGTGAAGGTACCTCCTACACCCTTGCCTCTTCCTTCCTTACATAATGAGCTGTCATTTGTGTAAATATTCTGGAAAGTGATGGAGAAGTTAGGAGAATTATTTGCCACAGAGGCCAAATTTAATATGCCACTGTATTAACAGCAAAGATTTTGGAACTGTCTAGCTGCATTGTAATAACCTGGTGGCAATCTGTGCACATACTGCCATTCACCACTTTGAACCAGAGACACCCTAGCTGTCTGCCAGCCTAAATGTTGCTATCATTTCATGGAAACTATGCATGCATGACATTTTCTCAGGAGACTGAATGGCAGAAGGGGAAAAGCATCAAGGAACTGCATTTCAGCCCAATGTTTTTTCTTTCTCTATTTTGCAGGGTGCAATGGCAGCCACTTACTTTGCTTTAAACCGAGCCCCTCAGGCACCGAGGCTGGAGCCTGTATTGTCCTCCAATCTGGCTCAGCGGCGAGGCATGAAAAGACTTACCTCTACCAGGTTGTAGCAGTAACCCCAAAAGGCCTCTTTGAAAATCCACAGCTTATTATTTGAAAAATTCATCTTTACTTGGCTAGCAGAACCTTTTTGGACTACCTGCACATGAAATCACCAGAACTAGCAGAAGCCCATGTAAGGCAAAGTTCTCCTTTGCTACATCATTTCTTTTACATTCCAGCCAGGGTCCCGAGTTTAACAACTTCACAAAGATGTGCCAATTTTGCCAGTAGCTCTGTTTCTTTACTGAGATAAAGCCAAATAAAGTAGGTATGCTTCATCCTTTCCACTCTAGGAAAACTATTTTTGAGTCCTTAAGATGTTCCATGGGAACAGTCTCCATTTTATTTCTCAAGAAAAGCACTTTTTGCTATGAAGAATGCAGACGGGTTTGAATGCTGTTCCAGCATGTGTCATGATGAAGTGACTTGGCTGGTCACCAGTAGACATCTACTGATCTCCACTCACCCCAGGAAGAATGAAGGCTGCAGAGACACACGAATAATACCTTATTTGAAACAAGTGCTATACAACAGGAAGGAGAGAGAGCTGGTGGTGGTGGAAATACCTTCTGATTTCAAGGAATCTTTTTGCACTTTGCCCTTGCCTTCTCTGGAACAAAGCCAGCCCCTCTCACGGAGTGTGTGCCACCAGCCCTGACTTGCTCGAAAGTCTCTGAGAGCAGAAAACTTCTGAGAAACTCAGTCTTCTGAGGAATTTCATGGATCTTACAAGACTGTGGGAAAGTATTCCATGTAAAGCAGTGTGAGTAGAAGCCTGTGGATCAGGCAAGAAAAAGGTTTCTGGTCTTGGCCAACAAGCAGGTCTGGGAGGACTAGGTGAGGGCCCTGGGGAATCAAGCAAGAGGCAGGGAAAGGTGTGGGTGACTGAGGACAGTAGGCAAAAAGACCCATGGCAGCATGGTAGAGAGTACTGCCAAAGGCAACTGGTATGCAAGTGATTGGGGGGCAAACTGGGACTCTCTTTCAAAGCAAAGGACAGTCCCTCTTCAGCGACTGGAACAGAAGAGGGTGGGTGGCCAGGCTGCCCAGGGGCAGGGTGTTTCAGACCATTCTCCCATGCTGTCACCGAGGCTGCTCACTGAGAGCAGTTCTGGTGGGCCAGAGAGCCACCCTGGGGCAAGAGAGGCCATTTGCAGTCACTGCTCCCTGCCCCTCCCTGGCTGTTCACCCACGTCCACCTCTGTCACCCAACATTTCATGTCCCTGCCTGGCTGTTCTGCTCTAGCAGAGCTAAACTCTCTGTGCCATGTGTGTGCAGAGAGTACCCACTTCTGAAGAGTTCAGCTAACTCTGTTACAAGCTTTAATAATAATAATTATGAGGAGAAATGGGAGGATGCTCTGCTTTTATATTTATATGAATATGTACTTGTGTATTTATATATATATAAAACAAAAGTTCTGTACCCTAATACCTGGATTTTCCAGGTCCAGGGAAAGAAAACTTCTGTTGAAATGGTCTCAGCAAAATGGAGGTTTTTTCTCATTCCCTGGTTTCAGAGAAAGTGAGCAAGGTTTGTGGTGCCGGATGTGAACTATTTTTTTATTCTTTTTCTTACCCATCTTGGCTTATGGTGGTCACAAGCTGACCGGGATTCTTCTTTGTACTGCTTTTGTTAATTTTTATTTTCTGAGTAAATTTTGTCACCTCAGATGCTTTGTGAGAAAAGCTACTGTGCTATGTTGGCTTTTTTCTGTTGTGATGGGGGGGAAAAAAAATGTGAACATGGAGCTTCATATGCTAGACATGGTAATTTTTCCCTGCTGGGTAGTTTGTGCATCTCGGTGCTGAACTGGAATTACCAGGTCACTGCCTCAGAATGTCCAAGGGAACAAGAAGATTCATTTGCTATAGCAATGTGTTTCCTAAAACTAGCTCTGTCTCAATGTTAACTGAAGTTTGTTTGTTTGCATTAGTCTATTTTTTGCTTTAAATTTATTCTTAATAATTTAAACTGATATTTAATGTTCAGGTTTATGTGCTGTGCACAGAGGACAGCTGCAAAGCAGCTCTCCTGGAAGCCCTTCTCTTTTCTAAAATAAATGCTGTGAAACTTCACACAGTGGCTGAATCGGCTGGGACTGATGTGTGCAAAGATGAAGGTGTCTGTGGTTACATGCACAGCAGCCCACATTCTCCCCTCTAGCTAAGGTGTGCTCAGTGTCAGCTTTTTGCTGCCCTTATTTTCTTCTTGTTAGAAGTTAAGTCTCACATACTTCTGCTGCTCTGCTAGCAGCACACTGCGAGGATCTCCACAGGCAGGGATATCTTGGCTGGTGTAGAATAGCTCTGGCCAGGCCTTGTTTCTGTCAACATGACTTCTGTTCTGGAAGAAGGCAAGGTGAGCACAAGGATGTGAAGGGCAGCCTGGAGGGAGGGATAGATTTTCTGGGGTCCCAGCTGATTTGTGCTGTTTCAACAAAATATGTTTTTAATGGTCAGTGTAGGATCTCCACAGGCAGGGATATCTTGGCTGGTGTAGAATAGCTCTGGCCAGGCCTTGTTTCTGTCAACATGACTTCTGTTCTGGAAGAAGGCAAGGTGAGCACAAGGATGTGAAGGGCAGCCTGGAGGGAGGGATAGATTTTCTGGGGTCCCAGCTGATTTGTGCTGTTTCAACAAAATATGTTTTTAATGGTCAGTGTAGTTGTATTGTGAGTGTTGTAAATATTATGTAGAGGTTTTGTCTCACCCTGAGATTTCAGTTTGCTTTCTTTCACAGCCACTGGAAACAGTTTAATTCCCTGTTGATATACTTGGTCTTGATTCTTTGAGCATTTTATTCAACCAAATATTTTTGTAGGCCAAGCTTACAGAATGTTGTTCTTCCCAAAGTTTAATGGTTTGAACCTCTTCCTGACTGAGCTCTTTGACCCACTAGCTATCACCCTATTTACCATACAGCATTTGGGCCACATGCAGACTGACACATGTTGATGCTTGTTAATTACTTTATAAGCCCATAAATTGTCTATAAATAAGTAACTATAAGCCTATAAATACAATGGGCTTTGCTGATTAAGATTTTGTTGATAGGGCATCCAGATGTATGCACATATGTGTCTATAAGTAAATAGGTACATTAAAAATGTGCAAACTCAGCTTGTTCAAATGAGGATAGAAGTGTAGTCAGTGCTTGAGGTGATACTCAGAAAGTTTTGTCTGTAGTGTTCTCAAAAATCTGTGATTGATAATGGTAATGGTTACTCTGGGCATGGAAAAAAAGTTGTTCTCATCCACAGAAGATGGATCCCCTCTGTCCCAGCTATGCATCTCTGCACCTTCAAGACAGTTTAGTCCCCCTTCTCCAGGCTTACCATGGGAGGTGCTCTTCTGAGGGTTTTCTGACCTGTTTCAGTCAAGTGAACTCAATTAAACTATTTCTACTGTCAGACTTGCTGATCCAACTCACTTGGACTGAAATACAAGAGCCTCCATCAGCAAACTGAAGGAAGTAGGTCCTGGCAGAAAGGGAGGAATATGCCATTGGCAGTAGTTATTTCAGACTGACAGCACCCACAGCTTCCCCTCACCCAGCTGGATCTAGGCAAAGATGCTAGGCCATGGCCTAATTACTCATATGGCTGCTTTTATACCAGCATCTCCTTTCTATATTCCTTGCTACAGTATAGCTTAGCAATAATAATTTATTCCACCTAGGAGAAAACCAAAAAAGGCTTAGCCTCTCTCTTTCTCTCTCTATGTACATAATCTTAAGAGACTTTTACTAAATGTTATGTTTAACTCCCGAAAGTCTGTAAGTCTCTTCGAATTAGATCATACCATCTTGCAGGTTATTAGTCCATAAAGTGACCTAGTGCCTTAGGCCATTACAAATAGTACAGTTACATTTTTTGAACCATCAAGGTGTGCCTGTCCAAGGAATGCTAAAGTGTACCTATCACAGACAGACCCAGATCATCTGGAGAGCCACTTCAGAATCACAGAATGGTTGGGGTTGGACGGGACCTCTGGAGACCATCTAGTCCAACCCCCATGCTAAACCAGGTTCACCTAGAGGAGGTTGCACAAGTTCACATCTAGGAGGGTTTTGTTCAGCTCAGTAGAGAGAAGTCTGCCCAGCAGGGAGGGAGGAGGCATCTCCCCACATTTCACAAAGCTAGACCCCACCTCTGCCAAATGGCCTTGATGAAGAATATCATGGGAAAAATTACCCCAGCTCCTACACAGCACCACAGCTTTTGTATATGGCAGAGGTGTAGGAGATGCTGCTCAAAGCTGACCCCTGCCCTCAGTCCCCCATGAATTTTTACTTGGTTAAAATCTGTTTAATTTTTATAAGCAAGTTTTAACAGCAGATAGCATTTATAAAGCCTAACTATTTCAGCAAAGACGTGACCCTCACAGACACTTTGTAATTAATCTATAAATTTGAAAAAAAAAAAAGGTCCATCTGAGAATAGATTCTGGTTTGATTCTCCAGAAAATCATCTTCAGCAGGTCCCTGAGAGCCCAGGGTACTGGGGATAGCCCAGACACAGAGAGCTGGGTGAAGCATGTCTTGTGTGACATGATGTCATGACATGATGTTGCATGTCACACTCTTACAAAGTAGACTGTGTGTCCCTGCGCTTCATCTAACCCTGGATGTAATACTGAGTTTTCTTCTCAGCCAGACTTAGAGTTGAATAAATAGGTCTTGGACTGAGTTTGAGAGGGACAATACCTCTGTTGGTTTACACGGTAGATCAGACTTTACTAGCAATCAGTATGGAGATCTTTAAGGGACAGGCTAATTTTGCCTGCATAGTACAGTACTCTCTAACAACTTGCACCTCTGAATACATCCAAACCTTGGCTGAGTATGGCAATTGCTGTGTGTCTGTGATATGAATTATGCCAGGACTTGAATCATTCCCTGAGCCACGGATGCCACAAGGGTTTCTTATGCTGCTGATCCACTGAATTTATGCCAGCATACGCAAGTGCTGGCACTAAAAACAGCAGGCAGTCACTTTCTCTTGACCTCAGCTGCTCATCTGTCCTTTCACACCTCCCTTATCCAGGTCATCACGGGGCAAAGCAAATGTTCATGCGTCAGAACAAATGGCTAAGGACAGCAGGAAGGCAACAGCATCTGTTCTGCCAACAGTGTTGTCAACACTTTGGAGTGGCTACAAGTTCAGTGTCATGTCTGTCCCTCTGTTGCTGAGTTATGCTAAGCAGAGCTCAGGTGTGGCTCAGAGTCAGGGCAATAAATGACGGCATGTTTGTATAGCAGCAGGTTACCAGTGCCAAGCTGTG